CACACACACACACACACACACACACACACACACACACACACACACACACACACACGCACACACACACACACACACGAAACCAACAATGACCATGGGTGAGACTCACAAAGCCATCGATAGTAGATGAGACTCACATAGATCATAAGAAAGAGACACCATGAAAGAAAACCGTAGAAAATTACTACAAAATTACAAATATATATGGCAATAGCCGAGTAATGTACGAAGGCATGGAGAGAAAAAGGGCAAGAGAAGAGTGAAATCTATAGCATCCCTTGGGTTGCTGGAACTGCTTTGCTCGCTGTCAAGTTCACTGTAGAAGTGGTCAGGAATTTGTTTTTCCTTCTGCTACTTGCTACATATATAATAATGAGAGCAGATGCTGAACGCTTTGCCTCTAACCAGCAAATTTGTTCTCCCATCTCCAAATACAAATGGACAACTGAACTGTACTTACTGTCTGTTTACCTCCTGGTGTTATGGTTCATTTTCCTATCCAAGGATCAGGACATCATTCCCCTCCACGCACTGTGTTGAATCTACAATTGAGGACCTCTTTTGTGTATAAAAGGCAAATTTCACCTCCATAATCAACATTAAGGATTTAATATTTTGTATCTAGTATTTAGCCATACTCCTTGTGAGTTTCAAATCAGTTCTCTCGACTTCTCGACAATCCAGAAACCATAGCCTCTGCATCTGGAAAGTCAGACCAAATGGCCCAGAAGAGTGCATATCGATCAGCCCCTTCACATTTCTCTCACAGCATTTTGCCAACCAAACTCAATGAGGTTCAAGACATTACTTTTTGTTCTTTTGATTGCCTTAACCATCCCACGGTGGCAGTCCTGGTTAACCTCCCTGAATAGTGCATACGACACACGAATGTTGCTCACATCCACTTGGATCCATGTCATTGGATCCAGTCAGTTGTCAGTCGTCAATTGCCTACTAGCTGATGTATCCAACCGACTTCATTTTGATATTCTACAGAGAAGTATGAAGAATTGGAGCCGGAAGGATCGTAGCTGAAATACCCACATCTAGTCTGTTTACTGCTGCGCACCTTAGGGCTTCCCAAAGGACAAAGTGAGAACTGAGGTCGAGATAAGAGACAAGATGTCAAGATAGAAATGCTTCAGATTCATCAGTTAAGTGCTCTCTCTCTCTCTCTCTCTCTCTCTCTCTCTCTCTCTCTCTCTCTCTCTCTCTCTCTCTCTCTCTCTCTCTCTCTCTCTCTCTTGTGCGCATCTGCAAAGACCTCACACTGCGCCCTTGACTGAATCCTTGGTTTCCAATGGCTGAACAGAAGCGGTTCTGGTTTAAACCACAAGTAAACCCGCACCTGATATAACAAACCTGAATTTCACGGCGCGCTGAGTTTTGCCGAGTCTGGGTCCCGTCGTAGTTTCTTTTTTGGTACTCCACACTGAACAGCGTAAAGAAAAAAAAGAAACAAAAAAAAGCAACAACCCTGGGAACGAGAAAGCACTCGGATACAGAATCTGGGAGTATGCCCTCAGTGAGGGTGTTGCAGCTACGCGTTCATCACAGACGTTACTTTCAGAAATGAAAAAAACAAAAAACAGCAACAACAATATGGACGTGAAAGCTGTTAGATACCAAATCTGGATTACATGCCCTTTTTGACAAAGTGTCAGCAGTCCGTGCAGTGCGCCCTGTCTCGCTGGCAGGGCAACAAAAAGAAAACAAAAGAAGGAAAAAACAACGAAAGTGACAAGAGCTAATACTGGCCATAGTTGCAGGTAGATTCATTCCCCAGTGCACTAGTGTGAGCACACGTCCTTCACGGCCTGCCCGGACGTCGTTCCTCAACTCTTCTTTTTTTCCTGGTTTGAACATTATCATACTGCCAACCCTGTCCCGACCCCTGATCTTTTCGGAACGAGTCGTTTTCAATGAATTTCTTTTGCCTGGGCGGTGTACTTCTGGTTTAAGCCTTACACCCTACATACACCAATGTTTGCATACAAACCGAATAGATACTACCGAAGTTAGCAGTTTCTGACTCAATGTCAACCAGTGCACAAAGTCCGGAAAACATCCTGAAACCTGACCGTGACACATCCTGCACATGAACTGACAACAGATGGTCTCATTTCCAGGTCGACCTTTGCACTCCTGGCCTCTACAAGGTCACCTACAGATTATTACAATTGGTATTAATTGATTACTATCTGTGTTTAACAGAAACTGCTGATTATGTTACCTGCACAAGTACTGGCAGCAACAACATCGTAAATGGCCAGAGTATCCCTGTAAGCATGAACCTTGATTCGGACTCCACGAAGTGGATCACCTAATATCGGACCACCAAATGACCCGGTCCATCCTGACAGCAGCATTTGAGACCCTTTGTGAGTGCAACCCCGATCCCAAGAACATCATCTACGCACTTACGTATTCATGCCATACGAGTTCCTGGTCAATAGGACTCGATACCACAGTATTATGATGGACAGGACTGTCCAATCTTTGAATATCATAATAACAGCATTGTATTCAATAGCAATACACAAGCTTGTTACCTGTGCAAGTACCATTACCGTCTTCCTGCCGAAGACCATGCACCCTCATTTTGGCTGTACTGGACTGGAGAGAGAGCTTGTATGCATTAATTATCAGTGAGGGTTATGCTCGGGGGAAGACAGTAGCCCCAACTACAACATGCAAGTACAACGGAAAGTCATCGCGTGGCATCAGCTGAACCATGAGCATGCACACATCCAGGTAAGTTCCAACAAAGGAAGGCAACTCAACAGTGTTAGCACAGGGATACACTTAAGAGCACCATCTGTCAAAATGAAGAACTGGGGACATCCAGAGGTCTTTAACCTCACCTTCTCTTTGCGAGCATCTGGCATTGCATGGGCGCCAATCACCACCAACCGTCCTTCCAACCTTTCAACCTTCTTTTTAAAGATAGAGTACCTTTCAAAATTAACAAGGATCGTCTTTTCAACGTCTCTGATAAAGAGAATCATTGGTTCCTTGGCACCCTCGGCTGCCAACACCTGCCAGGAGAACACAAGCAACAACAGATGGGTCAAAACAAAACAAAAAGTTCCGTCACATCTGAAAGACAATGGGATGAAATTAGACCACCATCCATGGCACACTCAGACTCGAGCTCCACATCACACCACATTCACGTGAGAGACACTACATCCAAAAGAAACTTGACCATGCTCCTCGCAACAGCAGCTATGGCCACTAAACTCAGCATGCACATAAGTCTCTCTCTCTTCTCTCTTTTACCACTCGTTCTCACCTCACAGTCCCCGATTGTCTCTCAGAATGTCTCCCCTCTCTCACACTACAACTATACCTATGGCACCCAATGTCATTGACTACGCTGCACTACGCTCACTCTCACTGACTTGGTAGCGTATTCAATGCAGAAGACAGCAGCACTACTGATGGAGTGCCCAACACACTGTGTTGACGTCCAGGTGCTGCCAACACTTTTATACTTGCTGGTTCGCCTTCCAGGAGGCTTGTTCCAGTTATAGGTTGGCTCTGATTTTCCTTGTTTGCTCCTTCTGGAAGCTTCTGGATTCTCCTTCAGCCTGGCTGCTTGGTCGGACTGACACCTGGCCTACCAACCTTTGTTATCTTGGCCGAGGCTTGTGGGGTACCTTCTTTTAACTGTTATCTGGCAAAGGACTTCCTACTACGATCTACTTACACTGCTTAGGTATGCATAATCATGGTACAAATGAAAACAAGTGGCTGGAACCACTAATGGAACGCGGGATGGGACTAGGTCCTGGGACTCAGGACTGGGACCTGGGACTCAGAACTCGTACTGGGACTTGCAACTGGGACTCGGGACCCAGGACTCGAGACTGGGACCTGGGACTCGGGACAGAAACAGCGATGCTGAGATTCATGGACTCTTTCAGGGAGAAGGAATGCACGAGAATCACAGACATGACTCGAACTCTCCGCCTTATCCTACAGCTTAAAGATCGACCAACTTCCCTACTGCTCGTCTTAAAACGAGCTGAAGCTGCCAGGATGTCAACCTGGGCCCACTGTGTTAAGAGGAAGACAGTAGGTGTGGAGTATTTCGCTGCCACCAAACAAAAACGAACAGACCAGTCACAAATAAAGACGAAAAGGCTGGAGTAGTACTTGCAGCACATGACAGCGCATGAAACAAATATTTTTTTAAAAAAGAGGAGAAGAGAACTTCAGCGGAGGTGATATCCAACAGACTGCTGTGTCCGTCGTTCGTCAGGCAAGAAAGAGGGAGATCCTCCTCGGACTGCTGTGTCCGTCGATTGTCTGGCAAGAAAGATGGACATCCATCAGCGGTGACGCGTAGCCAAGGATCCGCAATGTGATGAAAAGGACTGAAATGGACAATGCAAGGTCAGCGTAGCATCAACAAGCAATGTACATTCCGATACACACAAGATGGCACAAAGTGGCGCAGCTGAAAACTTTGAAGAGAAGGTCTGATCTGATCTGGACTGACCCGACATCCATCATACATCACACATGTGAGAGGGGAGGAGGGACCGCAATCACAGAAGAAAGGTCCCTCCTTCACACACATACATGGGGAGATGCCGCGGATGAGAGATGGGGGAATGGGACGAGACGAAGGAGGAGGCGGCGAGGGAGTAGACCAAGATCGTGATAGCGAAGTCCCAAAAATAGTCCCTTGCCGAGTGTCCAACCGATTTCTGTCCCAGAAACGCCGAATCAGATCCTTGGCAATGGGCCCAACCTAACCTCTGCCAGTATCTCCTGCCGATAACCTCTCTCACTCTCGTAGGTGAAAAAGAAGATGAGGAGGGGGTAGGAGGGAGAAGAAGAACGAAGAGAGAGAGATGGAGGAGGAAGAAGAAGAGGATGACGTCCTCCTTGCTATCTCACCTGCAGGTAGCTGTCACCGTACTGACTGTGGTCGTCGTCATGTGCAGGTACCGCGTGGAGCCCAGCTATGGCGCCAGGCAAGCTCGCCGCTTGCAGGTAAGGCCTCCGCCTCTCTCTACCTACCTATGCCAATACTCCCTACTCCGTAGCTTAGCGCAAAATAACGCTGCCTCCAACCAGCAGCGTGTCGCTCCAGAAGTGAGCTACTCGAACTGTCCTTGCCCAGCCGCTGCCCAACTATTTGTAGCGCTGGGCGGGCTGGGCCTACCTGCTGCTGGCCTCAGAAAACGGCCCAGCTGATCTGGGTCCCTACCGGACGTCCAGACCACGCTGCTGATGCAGCAAGGCGCAGAAATGCGCCTGGCCTAAAAACGGCCCTGTTCCTGTGCACCTAGCCCAAGGCGTCGCCTTGGGACCTACAGGACCGAAACGACGTCTGTTTGGCGCCAAAATGTGCCTGGCCTCGTTTCGGGCCTGTCTCTGGTGTACCCAGTCCCAAGGTCCGGCCTTGGGGCTGCGAGTCCGAAACGGCCTCTGAACAAGCAAAAATAAAACAACACACACACACCAAAAGGTAAGTAAAACAAAGCCTATCTACCTAGTGTGCTACCTAGGGCCTGAAGGGCCGCCATGGGCCTCCAGGGCGCGGGCTGTATGGTACGCGGCCTGGGGGCCTCTCAGCAACCGTCGCGCCCCTCAAATGGGGCCCGTGTGCAGGCGCAGCATGTAACACCGTAGGTGTATGACCAACACCACATGTGGGACATGCTAGGAGAGCATGTGGAGGGTGATGGCACCGGGGATAGTCCACACAGTAAAGACACATACTTTGTATGACAGCTTCTGGAAGGATTGACGACACATGGCATGTTGCTGACATGTCATTAGTATGGAAGGCTGACGTGCACAGTTATTTAAGCATGGCAGATCAAGGCCACAATGGCATGCTCGGCAAGTAATCAGGGGGTTGGGAGGATGAGCACAGGACAGGGGATCACAGTTTCCGTGTGAGACGCTAGCAGTGACCATCCCTTCTTAGTGTTCGGAGCAGAGGCTATGCGGTGTACACGCCAAGCGAACTGCACCTGTGCGACGACACAACGGGAGGGCACAGCCACCATCCTCTGGAGAGGTCCTTTCACTGTTTGTGGTAGAATCAGCCAGATTGCTCTCCGGGGGCTGCAGTGCTTGCAAGTGCTTATCGACATACTGTTCCTGATGGACGAGCCAGACTAAGTGATCCTCCAGCATTTGGTGGTACAAAGAGTTAATATTTCCCTATGTGTGCACCCCACCGCCATTGTCCCATAGGGTCCATGGATTATCTGCAAAGGTAAGAGCACTGAAATGACCTGGACGATATAAGATACATGCCCAAATATTCGGATCCTTGCCTGGCACGTGGTTTTGCGGAGCAGGCTGGAATTGCAGTCGCCTACCCATAAATGCCATAGCCAGGACTTCTTGTTCACACCAGGTGCAGCGCTGTCATCCTCTGGGCAGACGGCACGGTGCTCTTCTTCTATACAGCGAACAACGTCTGTGAAATCAGAAACAGTATAAGGATTACAATTGTAAGCAAGGAGACAGACATTAATGGCATCGTCCGCACAGCGCCCTCGCTGTAGCACTATGACAGTCTGATTCCGCAGGTTGCATGGGGGATCCGTTCACGGCCGCGGGAGACTCATTCGATTCTGCAGGTTGCACTGGTGGCGGAGACTCGTTGTGGTCTTGGCCAATTGGCTCCGGTACGTGCTCCGAAGAGAGGTGATCTTCAACCGGGGGCTCCATCAGGTAATCAGGAGACGGGTCATTGTCATTTGGGGCAGGGTAGAAAGCAGGGCTAGGTGGATGAGAGAGGGGCGGGTCAGGTGGGTGAGAACTGGATGGACCAGATGTGGGAATCGTAAGCTGATCAGCGACACTTGTGTGTAGCCACACTTGTATTCTGGGCGGCTGCTAGGCGTGCAAACGCTGCACAAGTAGCTGCACTTCGTGTCTGGTGCACTCGCAAGCCTCCAGCACTGAAGAAATCTTCGCCGCGTGGCAGGCATCGGACTCTATGTGCGCTATTCCTCGCTAACGTATATTGAAAGTGACGATGTGGTTCAATACGTTTGCGAGCATGTCGCCAGAGCAGATCTCTAGACCCTGCAGGGGCGCACGACAAACGAGGCCGCTGTCTTGGAGGCTACGATGGACAGGGAACATCTCTGCCGAAGAGGCATCTGTAACGATTGATCTGACAGCAGATGCCTTGGCCAACAGGGCCTTTGTGACTGCCTGTTGCGGCTACGCCCGCAATAAAAATGGAATGTTTGCCAAGAAGCGTAGGGGGAGGCGAGATTGGGTTCTCTCTCTCTCTCTCTCTCTCTCTCTCTCTCTCTCTCTCTCTCTTTTGTTCGCGCATGCTTTTGTTTTTCTTTTTTAAATAACCCCCCACATGTGAGATGATCGGATATGAAACTGATCGAAGCAGATACTACACTTGATCGTGTGTGTGCGGCGTAGGGGCAGGCGAGATTGGGTTCTCTCTCTCTCGCGCGCGCGCATTCGCGCATGCTCTCTCTCTCTCTCTCGCGTTTGCGCATGCTTTTGTTTTTCTTTTTTAAATAAAAAGGTATCGATGGACCACGGATCAGATATGAAACTGAACGGAGCAGATACTATGGCTTGATGATGAGAGATGATCGGATATGAAACTGATCGAAGCAGATACTACACTCGATTGTGTGTGTGTGGCGGAGGGAGAGGTAAGATTGGGTTCTCTCTCTCTCTCTCTCTCTCTCTCTCTCTCTCTCTCTCTCGGCGGGCACATGCTCGCGTGCTTTTTTTTCCTTTTTTTTTAATAAATAAAAGGTCTTGATGGACTATGGCATTTATGGTTAGAAGACTACAACTGCAGCCTGCTCCCCAGAACCACATGCCAGACATGAACTCAAATATTCGCGAGTGCATCCTGTATCGGCCAGGACATTTCAGCGCTGTGACCGATGCAGACAATTCATGGGCCTTATGGGACAGTGGACGTAGGGTGCACGCGGTAAGTAGCATTGGCGCCTCCCCCCCCCACAAGATTAAGTGTAGTATCTGCTTCGATCAGTTTCATATCCCCCCCACACGA